GTACGACGCATAGAATCACAGAATCAGAGAATCGTTTGGGTTGGAAAAGCCCTTTAAGCTCCCCCAGCCCAACCGTTCCCCTACCCCTGCCATCCCACCCCCAAACCCTGGCCCTCAGCACCACCTCTGCCCGGCTGTTAAATCCCCCCAGGGCTGGGGACTCGACCCCTTCCCTGGGCAGCCCCTTCCAGTGCCTGACAGCCCCAAGGGGAAGGAATTGTTCCCCATGCCCAACCTCACCCTGCCCTGGCACAACTTGAGGCCTTTTCCCCTCGTCCCATCACCCCTTCCCTGGGAGCAGAGACCGACCCCCACCAAACTACAACCTCCTTCCAGGTAGTTCAGCACCAAGCTCAGGGCCTGGTTTTCCTGGAGAGATGCATGGGATCCCCTGCATTTGGTGCCTCTGATCCTTCCATTAGAGCTAACAAACAGAAAATAGTGCCTAGATCCAGCTCCCGTTATTGTCTTTACCCTTCCATCTAGAAGTTCTCACCTGAAGGCAAATCAAACATGCCTGGAATGCTTCCCCCATACAACCCTCCCCTTCATCCTCCATTGATGGGTTCCCAAAGCCTCCACCTGACTGTTCCGTTCCGTAAACTTCGGGGTAATGAGGAGTTGGGATAAACTGGGTTTCATCAGCTGGGAATGGCTGAGTGGGACTTTGGCTGAGGATACTGGAGGTATTAGGTGACTCCTAAAACCACCACAGGCTGCCAGTGAAGGTCCTGGAGGGAAAGCCAAATGCAGGCTGAACGCTGAAGAGATGTCTCTACTGCAGCGTGAACACTGCCAGCTGAGACCTGCACAAGATCCCACCTGCGGCGAGGACCTCCCGGTCATTCACAGGACCAACGAGCACGTCGTGACTTCACTCTTAAATCTCAAAATTATAGTTCACAGAGAAATCCGTAGACTTGAAGAAGACACGTTCCTGCTGGACCCAATTAAGAAGGCATCTGATTAGGTTTTGGGGGGCCAGATGCTGAGCTGAGCAGTCCTGAGCACAGCCTAGCTGGCTTCCGAGTAACGATCTGTCTCCAAACCAGTCTCTTCCCTGGAGCTCCTCTTCTTGGGGGCGGTTGACGGGGCAGGTCAGGCCAGCCGTTCAACAATTTTGGATGCAGTCAGCAGAAGCTTGTGTTTGTCCCGATGTTATGTGCCAGCTCAGCACTTTTGAGAACATCAAACAGCTGTGCAGGCGCTTTCGGAAGGAGATAAGCTCCATCGGGGTGGGGGTTATCTGGCGTCAGAAAGGGAAGTGCAGCTCTTTGACTCAAAAGGGAAATGAATTGGGTTACTGGTCAACAAATAAATCTGGAGCTGTTCCTCTATCTCGCCGCCACAGCCGCCTGCCCCGTAACGAGAAGTCTTCTGAAGGGTGAAGGCGGCAAAGATCAATCTGGACCGGGTGGGCTGAAAAGGGCTGGGGGGCCGTGCCCCCAGGCCAGCTGAGGACCCTCCCAAAAACGGTGCCCAAAAAGCAGTTTAGCTGATGCCACTCCGTGTTTCAGCGTATCAGGAGAGACGAATGGCTCGTCCCCAGGTATGGAAAACATTGCATTTGATGAATACAGATGTAGCCACAGAAACCATAAAATGTTCCTTTATTTTTAGGAAAGGAAGGGGATTTTTTTTCCCCTTCTTTGTTTTACTTGACTTTCACTTTTTTTTTTTTTTTTTTGAATAACAGGGAAGATGAAAAGAATGAAGGTCCCATCTCATTTTGTGCTTCAGGCTCAAAACTTCCCTGGGTATCAGCTCTCTTGCGGGGATCCCTGCATTTGAGCTGCAGATCGATATTACTGCTCTGAATTTGCTTTTGGGGTTCAAAAAAAGGAAATCTTGTGACTCCAGAATGCGGCGGTTCTGGCACGGAGGGGAATATTGCAGCTCCGTGATTCACTGCCCTCTTGTGCTATTTAGCATTTTCTTAAAAGGATCAACACACAAAATCAATTAAAAACCAAAACCAAAACAAAAAAACCACAAATCCCTCCCCAAATCTGTTCCAAGCATCCACAGTTAGAGAGAAAAGCTGGAAGCCACGAGGCTGATGGGCTCTCAAACTCCTTTCGCAAAGACCAGGTTGGCCGGGGCTGTGAGCAACCTGATGTGGTTGGAGATGTCCCTGCTCCCTGCAGGGGGATTGGGCTGGGTGACCTCTAGGGGTCCCTTCCAACCCAAACCATCCCGTGATTCTATAAATAACATGAAAAGTTGGGACATTTGTTGCTTTTATGTTGTTATAACCTGTGAGCTCTTCGCACAGACTGTTCTTCCACTGAAGGAGCAGCTGGAGTTTTCCTCCATCAGACCTTGCCTCGTGCGACACAAAGACAAGGTTTTCAAGCTCATTTTTTTGGCCTTTGCCGTCGGGTGGAATGGCAAAATTAGGGCAAGCCCGCTCCGATGAGCCAGCAATTATTATTATTCTTCATTCCATGCACCAGCAGAGTACTGGGGAGCGCTTGTACCAGTTCAGGGGGGGAAAACACGGTGATGGGTGCTGCGCAAAGCAAAGTTTAACAGAAAATAGGGATTTTTTTGTTGTTGTTGTTAAAGCCAAATAGTACAGGGACGCTCCAGCTTTTTAAAAATGATAAAAGCAGATTGGACAAAGCAGCAGGAAGCAAACCATCGAAACCATCCTGCCTCCAGCGCAGCAGGGGAGCAGGAGTGGGTGTCCTTGCCCCAAGCTAATTTAGCTGCGGGATTTGCATACAGATCACCCCTAAGCAAAGGGCCCGGGTAGGGCTTAGCTAAGCACAGTACCGGTTCTTAGTCATGAGCTGCAAACAGCTAACGCTCGCTTGCCAAAATACTGACGAGAAACTTCAGCATGCGTTTGCATTTTTAAAACGGCAGCGACTCCAAGGAAGCAGTCACCCAAGAGCTTTTAAATTTTTATGAATTCAGAACATCCCAGAATTTTACCATTTTACTGCTTTACCAGTCTTTTACCGCCCTGTATTTTACCGCTAACTGTGCCAGACGTGACGGAGGGGACCACGCTGACACCGATGAACGCGGCGGCTGGGTTTTGCGCTTGACCCCGTAAAATTTTCCATCAGCGGGCGGGGGGGATCGGTGCCCTGGACGAGTCAGGCAAATCCGGTACCGGCCTGCGGGAGTGCGGTTCCCTGCAACGGAGGGTGAGGGTTTTAAACACCAAGGATGAAGGAGGGCACCCCAGGACCCATCCCACCCCTCCGCCAGCACCCTCAGCCTCCATTCCCCCCACCCCGGGACATCGGGGACACCTCCCGCCTCAGCCATGGGCACGATGCCCAGGGGTGTTCCCTAATTTGGTGCCAGCGGGGACGAATACCTTCCCGCCTAAGCGTTTGTGGGATACGGCAAACGGGAGTTATCACAGGATTTATGAATTCTGTCAGTGAAATGATTTTTGGGGCACAGCCCTTAATTTCTTCCTCCTCCCCTTCCACAGAAAAAACCCCACGAACACGGATTTGAGAAGCAGCAGCACAGGTTTGAGTCGCTTCATTTATAAATCCCAGCGGCCCGAAGCAGTTGTATCCGAGGTTTTACACCCTCTTCTTGGGCTCCATAAGCGGATTCCCAGAAAACAGCGTAACACCCTTTAATAGAAAAATCAGTTGCAGGCTCTGCAGCGACCTAGAAATCGTGACCAAGTGAAACAATTTCCAGGCAGAGCAGAATTTCCTCCTGCACAAGAGTTTGAAGCTTTAACGTGCTTTTCCTTACCTGGATTTTTTTCCCCCTGTATTTTTTATACGGCTCGCAAGCGGCCTCTCAGTTCACACGCAGCGAAGATCCCATAGCGCCCAAATCCAGTACGAGTTCAATGAAGTTTTCTGGAACACTGATACGATGCAGTCGGGTGCAAGGAACAGGAATGGAAATGGTGGAAGAGGATCATGGGGGGCAGAGCAGCTTATCCTGGCTGGTGTGGACATGGTGCCTAGGGACAGGGTTTAGCGGTGGGATGGCAGGGTTAGGGGAAGGGTTGGACTTGATCTTGGAGGGCTTTTCCAACCCAAACCATTCTGTGATTCTGTTACATCTGCGACTGCAACGCGGTCAAGCCAGGTGACGTAAGCTCTTCTGAAGACCATCACCAGACGGGTGCTCCAGTTTCCATACAACTACTCCACAACCTTAGGAACAGCACAGCCAGGATCAGGTCCAAAATGCAGTATTGGGAATCCCTAGTAGAGAATCTTGGATAAAAGCAAGCGTAGCCCCCCCCAAACCCTACCGTTAGGTATGAGCTCAGTACTAGGAGGGGCCCAGAGGTTAAATCCAGTCTCCCACGACAACGCAGAAAGGTCTACAAGACACGTTTGGTGACCTGAACCTCGCACAAAAGGGCTCACTCCGGCTCCCTCGTGTGCTTCACTTTCTATGGAAACACTCCCTGGGAGCCCAAAACAGGAGCTGAGGCGAGCGGCACTTCTGAGGCGCCCATCGTTGTTAAAGCCCTCTAACAGACCATGAATTCGGCGCATAAATACCTTGCTACCTACCAGCTTCTGCCTAGCACCCCCTCTAAACCCCAGCTTTTAATCAGCCTTTCTGCAACCCGCCAGTGAATCACAACCAACCCTTCTGGCTTTGGCACAGCCCTGTGAAACTCCAATAACCTAATACGAAAATACCATTTCAAGACATAAACCTTGCCCGAGCTAAGCTACGGGAGCGTGTACAAGGAGAGTGCACGCAGCTGGCCCATGCTAAAGTGGCGGGGCAGTTTCGCCGGTGCAGCTGGACTAGCAGAGCAGCAGCACACACAGCAACGCGGCGTTATTTGTTACGTCCGCAGAAATTGAATATGCTTTGGAGCAATTTTAGTGGATTTAATGGAATACCTCTGGTCTTGGGCACACTGGAGTCTATGGCATTGCTGGCTGGCTCCTTTAGCCCATAAAAACCTTTAACACGTTAAAAAAAAAAAAAGATATCTCAAATACAAACACCTGCAATTCTTTCAGTGGTGTTTATTTTATTACAAGGATAGTTTGGGACAGAGCAAAAAAAAATCATGGCAAAATCAAACCTGGAATTATTAAGAGACTTTCCCAGCCTCAAATCTCAATCTTTTTGCCCGGTTATCGTTGTGCAACACAGTAAGGACATCCTGATCTTTCACGTCAGCACGCGGTGCCGCACGGTAACGCCGCACCCCTGCGGAGTGTCACACTCAGCAGTAGCGCAGAGATTCAAAAAGGAAATATGCTTCTTCCTTCCATTGTTTTATTGCTATCTCATCTCGCCCATAACGCAGCTTTCAGTCTACTCAAGTTATCTCTAAGTTTGGCGGAGACAAAACCAGCCCCTCTCGCCCTCCCCAGCTACTGGATACCCACATAGATTCTGTTGAATTCAGAAAGGAGAATTAACAAAGCATCAGTTAGGCTATTAAAAAAATAAATATTCTCAGGCAGGAAATACACTGACCCCTGCAATTAATATATTAATAAACATTTACTTGTAACCTTAATTGCATGACTCACAGTGCTGGAATTTTTTATTTTTTAAAAAAAACCCCATCCAGAACACAAAGGCCGTGGGGTGGGGGTGTCCGAGGCCTTCAGATACACTGAGCTGGCTCTTACTTCAAAGGATGAATCATCAGAATCTGGTTAGTATCAGCAGAGTTGGCCTGCACGATAAATGAGGCGATTTAGCCTTTCCGTGGAGGTGTTTCTGTCTCTTGGCTACAGAAAAAATAACGCAGCTTGGCTGCGAGCAAACTTGACGTTCTATAAACCAAGCAAACCTGTATTTATATAGCAAAGGTTTTCTGCAGTAGGCTCTGGGAGTTCTCTCAACATACTCTTTCTAGAGTTTCAGTATATATTTCAGTAGGAACAGAGACACGCTTGCAGCATTTTCTTTGTACTCTGTCCTTCCAATGTTGATACAGATGACAAAAGCTGCAAGTCTCACCCCTACACACCTACTATTCTGGGCTGTGTACACCACTGCCACAAAGTTACACAGCCCCGTAAGCGCAGAGCAAGCCTGGAGGATTCTGAATGCAATCAAGAGCAAACATACTCGATACAGACATCAGAATCTGGAAACAATACAAAGTTTGGGTATAGTCACATGAGACTGGCTGCCAAGAGGAAGTCACCACGTAAAAATTACTGATGTTCCTGGGGTACAGGTGCATCAGAGTGCTTTAGCCTCAAGCTCTCGGCTCGCCTCCGTTGTACAAATGACTGTCCTGTTTCATACCAGCTCTAACAGAATGAAAAGCAAAACTTTTGATCAAGTCTTGTCGCTGATGCTCAAAATGAGCATCCCATCTTCAAGCGCGGGGGATAGACTAGAGGGGTTCTTGTTTGGCTTTGTGAGGCTCATTCATTACAAGGTTAAACTCCTGCCGTATTCTTCTCACGCCACAGTTTCATGCCACAGTTGGAGCAACCGCTCGGCTGTCAGGCTGGAGGTTGATCAGGGAATTGCTTGCTTGGGCCAGCTCTGCGATGGAGACTCGTCCTCTCTGTTTGATATACTGCGCCACGGCAGCCATCTCCTCTGGAGTGATGTAGATGAACTTTCCTCTGTCATCAATCACACCTACAGGGGGAAAGAAAGGACCTTGAAGTCAGCACTTTGGCTGCCCTTGCTTCCCAACAGACATCAGTCACTTCTTTTGGAAGGGACGGTCGAACTGCTGAGCTGCGTTTCGTACCTAGGGCAGGCAGAACAATGTGGTAGCAGTCAGGCTTTTATCTCCTCTCTACTCTCGGATCTTTGAGCAGGGCTCTGACAATACCCGAGTGCCTTGGTAAGACTGATTTTGCTCAGCAAAGTTCTTTTCATTGCAGGCAGCTAGCCAGTAGCACCGCAGCA